AAGTTGGCCAATACTCAAGAGATTACATTTAATTCCAGGAATGTATAGCACATCTTTGATCAAATAATGACTCTCATCCTTCTGCATGATCAAAACATCACTGACACCGTGGGCCTCTAAATTGGTGTCATCCGTGAATTTCACTTTATTCTTTGTGGCTTGATTTATTTTGACAAACCAATCCTTTCTACCTGTAATATGCATTGAACAACCAGAACGTAAGTACCACTCATCACTACCTTGGAATCCATCTCGAACAGTTACCATTATGTTTTGCTCTGAACGCGTTTCTGCATCATTTTTCACGCTGCTGACGTTGTTGTCCAGCAGTTTTTCCCTGCCATAATTCTCCTCTGTGATCATGACCAAAAGCGTGTTATCATCATCTACTTCTTATCGCGCAAACTTAGCCTCATCGCTTTGATTTTCTCTCGATTTCTCATTACATTCTTTAGCAAAATGACCAAGCTTGTGACAATTGTAACACTTCACACCACTCTTGTCAAACTTCTTGGTGTAGTTACCTTGACCACTAACTTTGGAGCTGCTCTCACTTCTTTGCGCCACTGAAACCTTTGAATTTTGTGAATCTTTTCCACCAAAATTCTGGAAATTTGTCTTTCCTTTTGAAGACCATTTTCCTGTCGATCTCTTACTCTTCTCATTGAGCCGTGTTTGCAACGCAATCTCCTCTTTGGCTTTGTCATTCCCTCTTTCATCCATCCTTTGTTCATAAGTTTCTAGCGAGCTTTGAAGCTCCTCCTTTCTCAATGTAGGAAGATCCTTTGATTTTTCGATTGCAACCACAATATTGTCGAATCTTGACGTTAAGGAACGTAAGATCTTTGCAATAACATTCTTCTCTGACACGATTTCATCGCAAGATTTCATTTGGTTCACCAAACGTGTTATACGCATAACGTAATCATTGATTGAATCCTTCTCTTCCAAGTTTCTACTATCAACATTCAATCAATCAAATAGCTCAACATCAAACTCACATTTGATAAGATTTCTTTATACATTTGTAAAAATTGAGCATTAGATTGTGTAATAAATTATTTAGATAGGTTATTTAACTGATCAATGTGTTTGATATGTAGTTTAGATGAGCAGTGTGTTTGATAATGTTGGATTTCCATGCATTTCTACCATTTTTATTTTTTCAGAGGTTCAGGTTAATACGAAAATGCACTTCCAAGCACACGAAGATTATTGTCAAACGCGTCTCTTGGTTGACATAGTCTTCTATTCTAAATGGTTGGTTTATGGGTCACGTCTGATGTGTCCACATCTGCCTGAGCGTGTCATGCGATAGTTCGAGTATATGCAGTTTGTTCCAAGAGACTACCCGATTTTGTTCTTCCTACTACGGTCTACAGGAATGTAGATGTCATGTTTGATGATTTTTTTAATCATATAGTACCGACTGAAACACGAGGTATTGTAACTCCTAGCGACTAAAGTTGTGCATTCGGCTATGTCTATTGATATTTTAGAATGTATGACATCAGGTGCTCCAAGAGATCCATTTAGGTCAGTTCATCAGGAGATACTAGAGGAGAATCAAGCTATGACAGATCTTATTGTTGATGTGTTTCCTATATGTCTGTCATATCATGGATCTTTTGTGAGCCGAGTATAGATAAAGGAGTCTTTCCGGAAGGCTCCCCTGGGAGTGACATTGTAGATGACGTTCTTACTGAGGCACGGATATCACTATGGTATAGGAGGCAGCGTACAAAACAGGGGTGGTTCGACAATACGCAGTAGTATAGTAGTTGTATTAGGGATTATGGATATTATTATCGTTTGTTAATTTGTGAACTTTTATTTTGATTATATCCTTGATTGATTCATTCAAATATGGCATCTTTATCTTATGCATTAAGTGTATGGTTTTATTTATAAAAAAAATTATTATGATTGTATAGTTATAATATATGGTCCATTAAATATGTATATTTCTATATAAAAAATCAAAATTTACTATCTAAGATGAATACGATAGTGCATCTCCAGAACCTGCTACGGTCCTACGAAGATGTATCTTCGGATCAATCTATGACAAAATAAGTGTCTCTTGGTTAGAAATGTATGGAGTGTGTATATGGTATACGGAAGTGCATCTCTAAACTATTTTAAGACAGAAAAAGAGGTGTGACTCATTTACGCATATATTTGATGTAAAAATAGAAGCGTTTAAAATACACTTTCGAATTCATAAGAGCATTTTTTAATTTCCATAGGACGCTTCTCTACCACCGCCACTTAAGGTGAGAGAAGCTATCCATTTAGTATTTATGCAAAACCCATAACATGGCCTAAGATAGAACAAGCTAGAAGCGCTCGTACTTATTCTCAATCCATTCATTCAAAGAGTTCACATAGTAATGTCAAATACACACCGAGCCCCATTTGCCAGCTCTTTCCATATATATCTTTGATCCCCCCGTGATGTCAACCATACATGAATTGTCGCAGTCATTGGCAGTGACTGAGTTTTTTCTCCCTATCATGCATGCATATATACACTAGGCTTGTCACATTCATTGGTTCTAGCTCAACAAATGTATAAGACCCTACTATGAGGTTGATCATGATCCCTGTCCTTTTCTTTTGTTTTCTCCTCCTTGTATAGTTGAAGAAATAATTCATCTTTGTTCATTACCATTATTGTCATTTATTTCATTCATCATTTTCTCAATGTTTGAATCCAGTAAAACGGCCGTAGAGTCAATGGAATCTAATGCAAGTTCTAACTAAATCTACTTCCACTCAGATTCAATGGATCTACAGCTGACACAGAAAATCAATACACAGGTTTTGCTACCCCAAGTACATAACTACACTATTCCATGTACACATCCATTTACATGACATCATGCTGCCTTCATTTTTAAAATCCATCTGAAATTTAAACAATGTGCCAACCATCTCATTTCATTAATTGAAGGTGTTGGTGTTGGATGTATGGCCTTCTTCTTATTTCACAATCTCACGGCTTCAACAATCATGGGGTAGATGCAAAAAGTTGGGGTGCCAATAGTCTGGGCTAAATATAGATGCAGATCTCATGCCAGGACCAATTATCCTTACAATAATGAATCAATCAATATTGAAGATTTAACTTGTCATCTCTAAAATTAAACTGATACCTCGACATATTTTAGTAATTTCTAAACTGTTATAGACAAATTTGAGTCAAAAATGCAAACGAAATTTCCTATAATTTATTCAAAATTTTCGGTTACAAATCAAATTTTCAGTAATTCATTTTTAAATTGTTGATATTAATTTATACCGTTTTTTTTTAAATCCAGTATTTTTAAACTAATAACGGTATTTTAAAATAATCCATGTTGTTACCTGAAATTTCATGAAAAATGAAATTTTAGGTAGTGTAATTTTTCCGGTAGTGTCGTCTTTTTATTGAAGCCGGTAGAATAATGATAGTTAAAGAATCTTTTAATCATGTTTGTGGTTAAACTTGCCTTGTAATTAAAGGAGGAAATGAGTCAGGTTAACTATCAGGGGTTTATGGTCTAATTTACATAGCAGTTCAAATCGTATTTTTTTCTAAATAAAAAAAAAACAAATTTTTTTATAAGTCTAATTAAAAAAATTAGATCATGAATTACATAAAAAATCTTTAAAGCCTATCCGACTGACCTACTTAAATAAATATAAATAACTTTAGTATTATTATATTATATTTTTGTATTTTAAATTAAAATACAAAAGTAAATCTTAGTTATCTAACCTATGAATTAAATTCAATTAAATAAATAGTATCAAAAAATTTGTTACTAGATAAACTCAAATAAGTCAATGGAAATAAAAATTTAGTATCATTGATCTTTTAATTTGATGATAATCTATTTATACATTAGTTGAATCGCTTATTTACAAATATTTGAATAAAATAGATTTTTAAGTAAGCTAGTAAGTTAATCAGATTTTCGAAAAGACTAGACTCAAGTCTAAACTAAGTCTATGATAAACTATAACTCAAACTTAAGCTTTAAATATTTTAACAAATCAGACTCAGATTTGACAAAACCTAACTCGATTCAACCTATTCTAATCCCTACTTGTAAAAGAGAAGAGGTTGTATTGGATGTTTCTCTGAACCTCTTGAAATTATTTTAATGGGAGGCCGATGCATCTAAGGGACTAAAAACTCAAGCTCAAACAATGAACAAAGACAACGGATCAGAAGATTTTTGGAGCAGCAAGTGCTATTTTCAGAAAATCATATCGGAAATTTCATTTTTCTTGAAATTTCCGATACGATAGGCACAATTTTGAAAATGCCGGTATTAGATTAAGATACCGATTTTTTTTAAAACCGGTATAAGTTAAGACCAGCAATTTAATAAAACTGAACTACCGAAAATTTAGTCTGTTACTGAAAATTTTAAATGAACTACCGAAAATTTCGTTCACATTTTTTACTCAAATTTGTGCATAAATAGTTTGGAAATTAATAAAATATGTGGGGGTGTCATGTTTAATTTTGGAGTAGCAAGTTAAATCCTCATCAATGTATCATCAGCTATTTACCAATTTAGCCCATCCACAAAGACCTACTAGTACATCAGTGGTCCTGAAAAGCACCTGTGACAGCTGGTGGTTCAATTTCTAAAGCTCATTTGACATGTCCAGCCAGATGAATCAAGTATTTCAAGAAAGTTAACAATTTATTACTCATCCAAATATAACAAATTGCAAAAAGGTACAGTTAATTAGTGGTCTACAAAAAGTACATTATATAATAAGTTGAGAATGGTGAATCAAACAGGTCTTGTTTAGCATATAAGTTAAAGGATACTATATCTGTAAGAGTCGTGATTAGTCTTGAAAACATTACAAAGACAGAGAGGTAAAGAACAGAATATGATATTTCATACTGAATATATAATGATATATTCACAATGAACACTGATTACTCATATGACCAAACATCTGATTTTCATGCACTTGCACCTCAACCATCTTCAATTATGCCAGAGTCTGACAAGTGTAGGTTTATGCAAGAATCGTGATGGGCGAGTCACGAGAAGTGGGATAGTAATCCACATTTGGAGGTTAAGAATTAATCCAACCTTTGGGGGCTCTGCATGAATAAATTACATGAGAAATTCTAGAAAATGGGCAATAATGCATGCGTCCATGCATACTTGTCAGTGCTACTACCATTCAAAATGATTTTGTACACTGATGCAATAGCTTTGGTTAGGCAAGAAATTAGTCAAACCTTGCAGCGTGAAAGTATGTTTTTCCCACTTTTCACCTTGAAGACCCAACCTTGACCTATAACTAGTACCAAGCTTGTTATCTCCTGAAAGAGCCGGCAGAAACAGAGAAATAAGGAAAAGAAAAGGGGGCTAAATAAGCAAGCAAGCAAACAAACAATAAAACTGGACAAATATTTGGATTATCAGTCCCAACTACCAATGACTCACAACCTTAACTCATGCAATCAGTAGAAGACAGTAAAGCATCATATAGATTGAGCATTATGTAATCTTACAAAGGTCATTATCATTATATTAATATTTTAGCTGCAATAAGCTCTTCAACAAAGTCTTGAGAACTGTATAATCATGCTGAATAAAATACAGAGCAAGAGGATATGCAATTTAATATTGTATAGCCATGGATGCATTTCATAGTTAATCCTTCTGAAAAGCATAAATCCAGAGTACGGTTACCTGTTGAATATTGCACCTCGCATTCATTTACATCAAAAAATTAAAAACTGTAATTACAGATGGAGGTATAAGGTGACTTGATGGTATTGGTTGAGGGACTTAGGGATTGGGAGGCATAAGGTGTTAGGTTTGATCCTCACCCGGTAAACCTTTTAACAAATATACTAACAACTAGCTTTTGTTCAAAACAAAATAGATGGTTGTCACATTAGACAGAAAATCAAGTGGAGATGTTGTGATGATTGTTAGGATATAGAATAAAGGGGAGTTAGCTACGGAAGTTAGGAAGTTAGTTAGTTAACTTATTAGTTATATTGTCATGTGTAAATCGGAGAATACAAGGATAGAAGAGGATGATTATTGAGTATTTTAAACTTCTGGTGAATAGAGCAGCGACTCTGTTGTAAAGTGGAAACCATTGGAGGAGAGTTTTACCCTCATATTCTTCCGGTTCTCTCAATAAATTGTTCCCTCTTAAATTTTGGGCTCCTAACAATAAATGATCTTTCTTTTCCCAAATGTAATCTAAATGAATGAAAAGTCACTAAAAATTCATCAGATATCCAAGGTCCAAACTGCAAAGTAGTCTCAGATGTAACAGAGAAAATGAAATGGTGTGCCCAACCTTGAAATGGAAAGGTTTAAAGGATCACAGATCAACAAAGCTCCAGAAGGCAAACACACTCAATATGAGGTGTGTGTGGGAACATGTCAACTGGCTGTAGGCTTATTAGCTTGTAACACCCTTTTATATTTAGCTCTGCCTGCACAAAACATTCAGCAACTCAAATAGCAGAATCTCAAAAAACTAGAGCTAAAATACAAAAACAAAAAAAATACACATACCACGCCATGACAGAGATAATCAAGGTCCCGGGCACATGTGGCAGGATTGCATGATACATAAACTATGCGAGGCGCCCTAAGATTTAGCAGGAATTTAATCAACTTCATGTGCATCCCTGGGCGGTTGGGATCTGTATTGGTCACACCAAATGACAACAAGAATTTTTAATTATGATCTTCAGTCAATGTGAAGAATAAATATGATCAACAAGTTAATACTGAAATAGACTAATTTTGTTTTTTGGCATGGAAATTGTCTACTGATGACTTGAAGTAAACATTTACCAAGAAACACAAAACAAAGCAAGTACCGCTCTAATGCATACAAGTGAAGAATAGTTATCCAGTTGCTTCATTGAAACTTCATTCATATTAGTGGTCAATTGCGGATCGCGGAAAATAGCGAATTGTTAAAACTCCGCTATACAATAATGCTATAGCGCCGCTATTTGATAACATTATATACAAAATATTGTATCGTATGTCCAAATTTCACAACACTAATGCGGTATAGCGCCACTATGGTGGCTATTTAACAAGATTAATGGATGGAGGAAAAGTGAACAACAGTGGCATTTTCAACAAGTAGGATAGATCCATATATACTTCTGATCAAGACTACAGTCAATTCTAATCAATTGAACAAGCCAAACTAATTGAGAAAAATATAACGATAGAATATGAAGGAATATGGAAATGAAGAGCAATGAAACCTGAAATAACAATGTCCGGTTTAGGAAAATTCTTCCCGAAATTCTCATCAATTTTATTGAGATCCCCCTGAACAAATGTTGCATTTTGTATGCCATTTAACTCCGCATTAAGTCTGGCATCTGCAATGGCTTGAGGAACTACTTCATAGCCATAAACATGCTTTACACTGTTCAAAATTGGAAGAGCAGACATTAATTTAATTGTTTACAGTTTGTCCTAAATTACTAGTAAAACCAAATGAAGGTTAAAGCTCACCTTCTGGCAAGTGTAAGACCTATGGTGCCTGTTCCACAAAACAGGTCAAGGACAATTTCTGAGCCATCTCCTTTGATGCCAGCACATTCTTCTATCAGTTTATACAACACTTCTGCCTAATAGGAAACGTACTAGTTATATTTCTTTGCCGATGATCGTGATTCAATTAAAGATATAAAATATGAGACATGATCTGTAATGCTAGAGTTTGCTGATATTTTTTAGCATATTGTAAACCTGATGAGTATTTGTTTGGAAGAAAGAATTTGCTGATATTTGGAAGGTGAGCCCTCTTAAGGTCTCTGTAATGCTAGATTTCCCATGCAAAGTGTATTCCTCCTCCCCGACAGACGTGTTACCAACAGAAGTGTTTACATTATTCATGATGCTTACCTATCATTCATGCATACAAGGAACTTAATGGTACTGAATACAATATATACATATAGTTTGGAAACAGGTTAATAAGGTAAAATATCTACACACAAAACAAGAGACAGTTAGGTTCAAATGGTGAATAAAATGACAACGTATGAAGGAAACTCAGTGCAAAAATGAAAAATTTTACCCAAAACTAAAATCACAGTTTTTTAGAAACAAAAATACGCTTGTCATAAAAATCCTGAAGTACACCCGTCCAAAAAAATAAACTGTTAACAATTACATTGATGAGATCTCTTACATATCCCCTTCATTGCTTTTGTCATCCCGCATAAAAAATTCAAAGCATGATTTAGAGAGCATAGTTCAGTTCCAAGTGTCTTCTGGACAACCCAAACATGTTACAGGAATTACTATTAAGTATTAGAGTATTAGTTTATTTTAAATAGGAGTTTATTTTATGTATTTTACTCTTTTAGCCTTGATAGTTGTATTTAAAGGCAGAGTACCTCATTTGAAGAGGAATCAATCAACATTCAACAAATTATCTTCTTCGCTCAAATTCTCTCATTCAATATTATGCTCACTTATCTCTCATTTGTATCGGATTCTATTCAAAATCATTAGAATCCCTACTTTGAGACTTGGATTTTATCGGTTCGTCCCTAGAATCCATTTTACCGTCTCAATTGGTATCTAGAGCCTTCGATTTGGCGCGCAAGATGGCTGCTAAATACAAACTAGTGAAAACTTTGGGTGCTATGGAAGTGGAAGAGAAGATGGAAATGAGTTTATGTTTCTTATGTGATGAACCTTTTACTTTAGAACATCAATTGCTGCATCATAAAAATATTCATATAATAATGATGGATGAAGAAGAAACCGAACCAGAAATTGAAGGACTCATAGAACCGAAGCAGAATGAGGGACCTGAGGTTAACTCCCCGGAAACTTACACCTCCAAAATTGATGTAATCGAAGAGAAGTCAACAATCAATTCCATAGTCACAAACCAAGAGAAATCCACATTGTTGGACCAGCGACAACCAACTATTGCATCTGTCATGCCACTCACAGTGCAACTACCAAAAGGTATTTCAATCTCCACTTGCAATTTTTCAGTCAGATTGAGAGCATTGGTACAAAATCATTCATCGCCATCCACTATGCAACGCTGTAGTGAGGTAAAAATCCAACTACTATCATCTAATACATTTAGTATGTCTGCACAAGCAATTTCTCTAAACCTCGACAAACTCGAATGTTTTGATCCCGGTGGAATGATTTTTCTCTTGTTTCTTCCAATTTCTTCTGTTTTTAATTCGGCTCAATTTCCATCAAAGTTGTCATTGTCAATAATTCCACCGCCGGAACCACCTGATAGGTATTGCTACCTACAGGTTGTGGCCATCTAGCTTCCAAGTGTTTGATCAAATGCCGAAGTGCCTTTTGTGTTTGGAATATCCTCACTATGGGATGTACAAGTTATGAGTCTGAAAGTGTTTCTTTTAATTCATCCAAAGGCCTCCACAGGGTGGTTATTAAGCTTGTTCTGCAAATGGCTTGTGAGGCAGCTTGTATGGATCAACGACAACAATGGTTTGTTCTTTTGATTGATCCTTTGTGGAGTGGAAACAAATTAAACTTTCAACATGTGATGTCTTCCTATCATTTGGCACGGACCAAGTTCGATTTAAAACAATATCAAAGTGTCTTGCTTGTGGTAAATCTGAAATCTTTCATGAAGCTCAAGATGTGGCCAGTTGAATTATGCTACAAATTCAGGTTGGTTTCTTGTGTGATTAGAAATTTTAGCTTTAACTGTTCGAGCATGTCAATTGATGATGCCTTTAGTACAATGTGGCCAGTACTGAGTTTTGAGTTTGCTGCTGTAATTGAAGTTTTTGTTAGATTACATGTCATATATATCAAATACACCATTGGAGAGTTAGTTTATGTACATTGGATCTCTCAAAGGTTCAAAGCTAAAGAAGTCATAGGAATTGTTTTTGGGTTCCTTTTACACCAAAAAAGTCTTGATATTACTAGGGAAAATGATTTTTATGCTCCAGAATTCCTACTGTTTACTCATGTTATCTTTGGCTCAAAATTTGGATAGGCATCACCAAATATGCTCCCATTTTTCTTTCTTTTGGACTTCAAACAGGGAATATTAATATTGTTTCAAAGGTATCCAAATATATCTGCTTAATTGTCCATGCTTCAATTGTTGGGACACAAGAGCTAGTGAGGATTAATGATGGCAAGAAGAAGCAAGCACCAAATATATATGTACCAATGGATAGTTATTGGTTTTGTATGGTTCTGACAGCAAACTACCTCCAGGTTTCAAAGTCTTGTACCTCTCTTATAGTTGCTAGTTTGCACAGAGAACATGGTGATGATAGAGTGGTCAGAAGTGAATCTCTTTTAAAAGTCGTTGGAGAGAATGTTGTGTGGTTTAGGAATCTTGAGCTGAATTTTTTGAAGAAGCGGCAACTAAATTTAAAATGTGTTCGACACAATCATGGAAATGATTTCATCTATGTGCTTATCTTTGAATGTCAAAACTTTTCTGTTGAGGCTATTCTTCATAGGAAGATGATCAATTGGGGAAATGTTCGAGATGCTAAAATTCTAATCAAATGGAAAGCTTTGCCTCTTAAACATGACAGCTGTGATTGTTCATCCTTGAGGACAAGGATGTTTGAAGGGGAGGGTATTGTTACAGGAATTACTATTAAGTATTAGAGTATTAGTTTATTTTAAATAGGAGTTTATTTTATGTAATTTACTCCTTTTAGCCTTGATAATTGTATTTAAAGGCAGAGTACCTCATTTGAAGAGGAATCAATCAACATTCAACAAATTATCTTCTTCGTTCAAATTCTCTCATTCACTATTATGCTCACTTATCTCTCATTTGTATCGGATTCTATTCTAAATCATTAGAATCCCTACTTTGAGACTTGGATTTTATCGGTTCGTCCCTAGAATCCATTTTACCGTCTCAAAACAATAGTTGGCCCAGCATCAGTTCACCTCAGTTCCACCCCTTCTCTATTTAGTAGTGGGATGTTACGGGATCCATCCCTTTGATATACCTTAAAATTTGAAATCTAGGGGTCAACCAAACTGACAGATGTGGATGTTACAGGAACCATTCCCCTGATGTAGCTTGAAATTTGAAACCTAGGGGTCAGTAAAATTGACAGATATTGTTAAGCATCAACTATCCTAAAAGCTTAAGATGTTCAGAGGAAGCACCAAATAGCTTCATGTCAGTTAGACATTCCTCTAGGCTCTAGTGTTTATGGCTTGAAGCATGGAGAATGTACAAGCCCATTTTACCTTGTATAAAAATTAATTAAATTTTATGATAAATAATGGGCGCAACAAAACTCAAAACTCTAGACCACTTGATCAAAGAAACTCTACCACCATGTTAAGATCATTAAGTTGATGAATGGAAAGAAGCACTTGAATATTTAATATCTTCAACAGAGAAACAAAACTTTGTTCAAAGCATAACAGATTTTAGGGCTTTTGAAAGTTAACAAAGAAACATATGTGGAGAAGTTGAAGCAGAATGTATAATCGTAACAAAAAATTGAAAAACTTGAGTACCAACCACTTCAGGAAATGCAGAAACTTTATCAACTAGGACCTTCAGTAGATCGGGCTTGTAGGAAGATGTCACAAAGTTGACCATTACTTCAGGCAGACCGGTCATTACATCCCTGGATCAAAAAATAAATGTTAATATTGATTGAAAACAAGGTACCCTTCAAATGAAACATTGTTATTTCAATCCTTTAAATATGATTCCTTCTTCGGGTATTAGTGCTCACTTTAGTGTTGTTGAAAATTTGAAATCGAAAAACATTGTGGAAATTGTAATTATCTTTAGAATCGATGAAATTATTGTTTAAATTTTTATTTTTCTTTATAGCATATCCTCCCATACCTTTGCCTTAGTTTTCAGAGCTAAAATCAACTTTGTGCCCATCCAAATACAATGTCTGAGCATTATCCGGTGTATGGAATCCCACATTGCATAGTGATGTAATTTGAATAGAGGTTATAAGCGGTGGGCATCCTTCGCCATATTAGTTGGGTTTTGTACGGTTGAGTTAGGCTAACACAAATTTTAAGATAGTATCAAAGTTTATCATATATCTCTAACTCATTATTGAGTCACCAAAGTAACGCTCCAGATGTCCATTCCTACCTTCTCGGACGCGAGAGGTGTTATTAGTTTTAATTGTGGTTATAAGTGATAGGTATCTCTAACCTTGTAAGTTATAAGGTAGTTTGGTATAGTTGATTTAGGCTCAACCCGAAATCTATGGTTCACAAATATCGATGCAAGAACTGCAGTGTCCAACGTGTAGCAAAAACAATATAGACAGGGAATACAAAATATAACTTAAATACCTTCCACTTCTTAGCATCAAATGCTTAAGAAATCCTACGTGTGAATGAACATTGTAAGGAGAGAAACCAAGTTGTGGATCCCTCCAACACTCTTGGATAGCTGCAAGAACCTATTCAAATGTTCAAGTCAAAACATGAGGAGAGTGTAATAAACTTCCCAGTTGTGATAGGAAATGAAATAAGTGTAGGATATTGTCACAGAAACAAGTAACAGTTGAATCCCAAAAAAAATATTATTAATAACATTCCATACCTTATTAGCAGGATCAGTTTGGAGTAAGCATTTGTCAACGTTTATAATCTTATCAAAAAAACCAGGAACATGCAATCCAAGTGCATAATTCTCACTTCCACCATCAACATTTCGTTCGTGCAGCAACTCTTTAGGCAACCATTTATAAGGACCAAACGAGAATTCCATCTAGACAAGAAAGAAAACAGACCACAACACATCTTAATTATCAACTAAATGCATCTGCATCGGACATTTAGTTTTTGAAAAAGACAAAACCAAACAGAGCAATAACTGACTAACTAACCAACCTTGTTCCTATAATGAAATTGAATATCACAAGGAACAATAGGCTTCATAATTCCATGCAATTCCAATTCTTTCTGAGAAAACCTTCCAACATGTATGATTAAGTCGCGAACCTGTTTGTATAAAGAGCTTAATTAATTGCTTATAGATTATAAAATCAAACTGTTTCTATATGAACTATAAAGTGTTAGCATAAGCTATCATGCCGAATCTATGAAGATGTTATAGCACATTTTACAAATTCTTCCTAATGGTCTCACAAAAGTGCATATTAGACACTAGATAAGCTGGAATAGACGAATCGAAATATCTTGTATGTCACAAACCTGTTCCTCTTTAGCTTTAACCTGAGCTTGATAAGCCAAATTCTGCGTCTTGCAACCACCACAATGAGGAACATAGACACAAGGAGCATCTACAGTATGAAAAGGAGGAGTTAACGTTTGAAGCTTAGTAGCCTCAGCGTAATTACCCTTTTTCCGAGTGATACGTCCGATGAAGCGTTCGCCGGGGAGGGCACGGTCGCACATGACAACATAACCGGTTTCGGTGACTTTGCACAGACCTTTGCCTTTGAATGCGAGGGATTCACAGAGCAATTCGAGGGTTTGGCCGCGTTTAGGGAAATAGGAAGTGGCATTGGAATTAGGGGTGGTGTTGGGTTGTGGTTGTGGAATGGAACATGAGAGAGTAGAGAGAGGAAAACGATAAGAGGGAGATGAAGATGAAGAAGGTGATGGGAATTTGAATTTTCGAATGTGGAGTGGAAGAGTGTTTGTTAGGTTTGAAATGGGAACCATTTCGCGGTTTCAATCACAACTCGACTGTTGTTTCGCCGCAAACTGGAACAACGTGTACGAACTTACTTACAAAGATTTGATGATAAAGATGCAAACTTTATCTTAAAATTATTTGTAATGAACTATTTCAACATGTTCCAATTCCTTTTGTCTCAAACTACTTTGTTTTTGTTTTAAAAAATTAAAAATCACGATCGTTGGTCACTACTCTCATCATTATTATGTCTATGACTCTCACCATTGTTTATCATTCTCAATAATCACTCCTTTCATCGTCAACAACCACTTCAATCATTATTGATTATGACTATGATCATTACCCATTACCATATGATCTCCAATGTAGCCATACCATATCTAACTATCTTTGTGACCACCACTACGATTACCGCTAATCACCACTCCAACAACCACCACTTCTACACCTGTTAACCACCATATTGAACATTATTCATTAACATTTTGATCATCGCCAATCCACCTCCTATCACCAATTGACCATCAGTCACCACATTGACAATTATTTTAATCATCACTCTGACTGCCATAAATCAATACTCTGACTACCACCGATCATGATCGTCAAATACGACCACCAATCTGAAGGTTGAGAAAAACACAAGAAAGAAGAGTTTGAATTGAATTTTCAAAAAAAAAATCTTTTAAAGTGTTTCACAAAACAATCAAAGTATAATCAATGCTACAGAGAGAAATAATGACATGTTTGGTTTATACAAGTTCACCATCAATAAGATTATTCTTGTCCACCCGTCAAGGTGAATTTGCCTTAGAAAATGACTTAATCCACTAATCTTCAAAGATTACAGACCGTCTAACAGTTTAGAAAAACACTTTAGCCCTCTCAAGTATCCTTATTATTCACTCTAGCCACTTGAGGAAACAACAATAGACTAAGAGTTATAAAACACCTTAACCCTCTCAAGTATCTTGACGATTCACTCTAGCCACTTGAGGAATACAATTCTTAACAAAATTACAATCAAATAGTGTTTACAAATGCTTCTAGAATAAGCAAATTACACCAATGTTAAGAACGAATTGTTTAACACAAATATGTGTTAGAACATAGTTTGGTTCTACATCTTAGTAATAGTTTTGATGATAACAAATACATGATATATATATGTGTGTGTGTGTGTGTGGAACAATTATCTTCTCTATAAAATTATTTAAATATGCAGAGATGATCTGATAAAGAAACATAGAAGTTGGCGAATAATTTGCTAGGAAGATCTGATAAAAATATATGTACAAACTAAATTAAAGTATCACGCTTAATAGAAGAAGTTCTGATGTTATAACTTCTGAAGCACCAAAATTGCAAGCTAAAATCTGATGAAGCAATACTCTGATGATCTAAAGTTTCAACGTTATTATTCTTATTCTGATCAGATTTCAAAGAAGCAAAATTCGGATGCGTTACATTTCATTCATTACAAATAAAGGAGTAACGGCGGGTACCAGACAAGATCTGTATTTTTGGAAAGTGCATTAACAATATTTTATCAACCTTCCAAAAACATCTTCTCATGTCTCAAATGGATCTAAAAAGCTTCGCCTATATGAAGGAGTTCTTGAAGGGTGATCAAACAACACTTGTGCACATACAATAGAAATATTCATAAAGCTCTTTTATCTATTATATTATTCACTGTGATTTAACATTGTGTAAACATCACATTTGTGATATAGTTTAATAGAAACATTCTCGTACACATTTTTTATTCACATTTTATAATTCCCTGAGAAACCAAGTTGTGGTTTAGTCTCAAGAAGATATTGACAGAATTCTTTGTGAGTTGTAATCAAATTTTTTATTAGTGGATTAAGACATCAATTGAGAGAGGCAAAATCATCTTGGCGGTTAGACTGGAGTAGTTTGAGTTCAAACAATTCAGGATAACCAAACGTGTCATACTGTTTTTAATTTTTGAAAACCCTAATTCAAACTCTCTTTCTTGTGTTTTTCTATCCTTTAATTTGTATCAGAGCTTCTGGTTCTGGATGCTAACACTTAATCTTGTCAGAAAAAGATCTTAGCAAGAAAAACACTATGGTGGAACCAGTTCAAAACAACAACAATGATAACTATGATGATAAAGATAAAATCAGCAGCAGACCCCCAATGTTTGACGGTGAAAATTTTGATTACTGGAAAGACAGAATCAAAAGTTTCTTTCTATCTCATGATGCTGATCTATGGAATATGGTGACTGATGGCTACATTCATCCTGGTGATGAAAAAGGTCAGAAGATTGATAGAAATAAAATGACAGATCAATAAAAGAAAGAGTTCAAAAATCATCCAAAAGCCAGAACGATTCTCTTGAGTGTCATTTCATACACCGAGTATGAGAAGATCACAAACAAAGATTCTGATAAAAACATGTTTAACTCTTTGAGAATGACGCATGAAGGAAACACACAAGTCAAAGAGACCAAAGTTCTTGCACTCATCCAGAAGCACGAAGTTTCAAGATGGAAGAAGATGAAACAGTTGAGACAATGTTCTCAAAGTTTCAAATTATGGTTGCTAGGTTGAAATTTCTGGATAAAGGGCACTCAACAGCAGATCATGTAAAGAAAATTATCAGAAGCTTACCAAAGAAATGGAGACTTGTGGTCACAACTTTAAAGATTGCCAAACATCTGAACAATATATCTCTTGATGAACTTATCAGCTCCTTGAGAAGTCACGAGATAGAACTAGAAGAATATCAGCCCCAGAAGAAAGGTAAGTCTCTCGCTCTTAAATCTAATAAAAAAATATGAAACTAAAGCCTTTCAGGCAGAAGAAGAAAGCTCTGGAGGATGCTCATCATAAGAAGACGAGCTATCTCTTCTCTCAAAAGGTTCCCACAACTATGGAAGCATAGACAAAAGAAATTTAGAAATCCTATGAGATTAAGTGGTTATTCTGAATCATCTTTTGGCTACAAAAAGTCAAGAAACAAAGATGTTGTTTGTTACGAATGCAAGGAACCCGGTCACTACAAAAGTGATTGTCTTAAACTTCAGAAAGAAAAGCCAAAGAAGAGATTTAACAAAAAGAAGAAGAAAAGTCGTATGGCTACTTGGGATGACTCAGAATCTTCTGAAGCAGAATTATCATCAGAAGATGAACCTGCCAATATCGCTTTAATGGCCAACATATCAGATCACACTAATTCATCTGAATTAGAATCAGACTTAGAATAAGAAGTGGTATTCTCTAACTTTTCTAGATCTCAATTAGAATATAGTATGTCAGAAATTCTTAAAAAATATCAGCAACTTCAATTCAAATACAGGAACCTAAAACATGGTCTAGTATTTGACTCTGAAGAAAGTAGGAAACTAAAAGCATAAAATTTTGAGCTAAAAGAAACTCTCTCTAAACTTAAAAATGAAAAATTTGTTATTAAAAACGAGTTACAAAAAGCTCAGATAGAATTTGTCTCAGAAGTTTCAACTAGTTCTGATAGTATCATAAAAGAATATGATTATAGTTTTCAAAAGTTTCTAGCTAAAAACATAGATAGAAGCGAGATGGCTTCAATGATCTATGGAGTTAGCAGAAACGACAGAAAAGGTGTGTGATATGTGAAACCAAAAGGAGAAGAACCATATCAACCAAATTAAGTTGATGATATGGTCATAAAACACACACCTTTAACTCACACTTCACATATGGGCGTTGTTGTACCCCGATTTTTGCCCCTAAGATCCCTTCATAATACCATATTGATTCAATCACAACAAGGTCACATTAGGGTTTTTGGTTCTCCTCCCTATATTTAGCTTTGCTCTTTGAGAAATCACCAAGCACCTTGACTTGTTTTTCTTTGTGATCATGCATGTTTGTTTTGACTTTCCTTTTAACTAATAAAATGCAATGTTGGTTTGTCTTACTTTTTAATAATGTAGGTAAAGGCAATGTGGCTTGGCAAGTTGATCCATGGATCCATGAGTTTATTTTCATGCCCTAGTTAATAAAGCTTTAGAAGTTCAAACCTCACCGTTGAAGTTATGTTAGAAGAAATGGCATGACAAGGTTTATCTTGGTTCACCACATTTCAAAGTTATCAAGATTGATTCAAAAATACAAGGGGTTAATTGAAGAAGTTGTCATGGTTGGACAAGGTCTTGTTCTCATTGGTCACAAGTGTATATTTCTCTCAATTCTCAAGATATGGAAGTGGTTTTGGTTGCTATGAGTTCTCATTATCATCCTTAATAACTTCTATCTACAAAGCAAGAGTGTTGATACAAGAAGGTTGTTCAAAATTGTCAAAGTTCCTCAAAGCATTTTCTTGATCTAGGAGCTAGGGTATTGAACTTCAAAGAAGTATATCTTACTCATCTTTTGGTATTTTTGACTGATTCCAAAGACACCCTTAGATTCAAAGTATTATTAACATATCACTTTAAAATTTTCAAGGAGTTTTTATGTGGAAGAAACTTGATGATGAAGAAAGATTACAAGTCCTCTAGATGAACCCCCAATTTCTCATGTGTGACTTCAAATGATCATAACTTGGTCAGTTTTTATCACCTTGAGCCCACTCTTTTTCCACAATGATCTTGAGGATGTGAAATTTATTCCTTCTTTTATGTGCAAAGTGATAAGATGGATGGAAGATTCCCTAAGAATACAAAAGATTATAGGTCATTTCATGATTTTTTGTCAACTTCAACAATTTATAACTCTCTCAATTTTTGGAGATTTTGAATGGTTCAAGTTTCAAAATTTCATTCAAGAGGTCTATTTCATGCCATCTTTTTTGGTCAAGAGCAAATTCCAAGTGGAAGGCCATGTTTGGATACAAAACATTATAGGTCACTTTTAAAGAAAATTTTGAAATATTTCTAAGTATGGAAAGTCAACCATTTTCCCTAACTTTGACTCATTGCAACTTTCATCTCAAGCATTCATTTGATTCCATTCTTTCCCATTGCAAATCTTGTAATCTCATCTTTCTAAAGCATCAAGAATCATA